CCAGGAAACATACACCGAACTTACCAACGACCACAAGCATATAATAATCACATGGATCCCGTCACACCAAGGAATTGAAGAAAATGAAAAAGCCGACTCCTTAGCCAAAGAAGCAACAACTGACCAAACAAAAGAAACCAACATCCCAATCCCACACCAAGACCTACTAACTTCAACGACCAAAGCGGAAAGAGAAGAATGGAACAGAATTTGGACTACGACAAATAGAATCAAAATACACGACATAGCACACCATTTCTATCAAAAAATAACAAACAACAATATAAGCAGAAAAGAAAGGATAGCTATGACCAGGCTTCGAATAGGACACTCCAAGATCACGCACGAATATCTCCTAAGCAAAACAGAACCACCTTTCTGCAACACCTGCAACCAACAAATCACCACCCAGCACTTGCTACATGAATGCAGAAAATACCAAAACATAAGAAGTAAGTACGAATTAAACCAAAATACCGCTCTAACCTACCAGAAACAACAAAAAAACGTTATCAACTACCTAAAGGAGACCCAATTACTAGACCAGTTATAAGGAGACAATTTCAACATGTCGCTAAAGACCTCGTAGTCGATGCGACGCTAAACCCCCATTTAAAAAAAAATATATAATTCAATTAAAGAGTCAAAACTAAAGAACAAAATTCTAGCACATAAATATAATAAAAAAAAAACACTAAATAAACGCAATGAACATGGTGATTCAAGTCCGAGAATAATAAAAACAAAAAACAGAAAAAAAGTAGAAACGAATTTGCATTGTTAATTTTGGTGAACGAGAAAGATGGTTGCGCGGATGTGTTCTAGTAATTACTTAATATTACCTAAAAATAAGCTCGCTCATAAATTATAGCTAATTTCAAACCCAATAAATCATTCATAATTAAGTTATACAGGGTGTTTCGTAACTTGTGGGATCCACTTCGGGAGCTGATTGTACGCCTAAAAATAATGAAAAAAAGTCATATAAATAATATATGTCCTATCTGACTTCGTTTATGAGATATAATGAATTTTCTGTTTTAATTATTTTTACAAAAGATGCTCGAAATGACCACCTTGCATTTGAAGACAAGCCTGCACGCGTCTTGTCATTACTCTCTCTATCATTCTTGATGTTTCTCGAATTTGTTAGAAGCCTTGCTCTATTTTATTTCGTAGTATTTCAGCATGTTCAATCGATATTGCGTATACAATAGATTTTAAATGTCTCCACAAATGAAAATCCAGTGGATTCAAATCCAGAGCAGGCCATGCAATAGGACCTCCACGACCAACCCATTTATTTGCAAAGTGTTAATTTAAAATGAGATATGCGGTTTATGATGGAGATCCGCCGCATTTTAGCCGAGTGACTAGGCAATTTTTAAATCAACACTTTGCAAATAAATGGATTGGTCGTGGAGGTCCTATTGCATGGCCTGTTCGGTTCTCCGGATTTGAATCCATTAGATTTTCATTTGTGGGGACATTTAAAATCTATTGTACACGCGACATCGATTGAAAATGGTGAAATGCTACGAAATAGAATAGAGCAAGGCTTCCGACAAATTCGAGAAACACCAGGAATGATAGAAAGAGTAACCAGATGAATGACAAGACGCGTGCAGGCTTGTCTTCAAATGCAAGATGGTCATTTAGAGCATCTTTTGTAAAAGTAATTAAAACAGAAAATTCATTATATCTCATAAACGAAGACAGATAGGACATACATTTATATGACTTTTTTTCATTATTTTTTAGGTGTACAATCAGCTCCCGAAGTGGGTCCCACAAGTTACGAAACACCCTGTATATTCTGTCCACAATTTTCGCATCGTATACACAGAATATATCATCAAAATGTGAGAGCCACTTTAAGAATGGATAGGGTACATCAAACCAATGAAAAAAGTTCACACGTCAATAGGACACGTGTCTTATTTGACCTTGTTTGAAAGTTATAACTATTTTTGTATTTCTGGAGGTATTTAAAAATAATTGTGCCTTCGACACGTATTATCCATGTTGAAATATTCCGTGCACACACACATACATATATAACAGTTTCGACTTACTTGGGATTTTTGAAAGATTACAAAGTTCCTTGATACAGATTTGCAGAGAGACGGTAATCGTGAGCATCTTTTAAAAAGATAAGCAATTGTGGATTATTGAGATATAAAAACAGTTATATAACTTTAAAACGAGATTAAATAGAAATATGTTCATATAAACTTTTTTTATTGTTTTAATCCTCTGTCCTATATATTGAAATCCAGATATGTCTTACCAGATTGTTATACGAAGGTTTATTTCATACTAAATTTTTATTTATAGATATACCGTACATATAACTTTCTATAATTAATGATCTTGTTAGAAATCTCTTGGGAATTGGGAAACGATATTGCGAAATATTAACAATCCAACAAAACTTTTTAACAATTAAAATTATTTTAAATACATTGATTAAATTGCCAGCAACACCGTCATTCTTCTGTGTAATTTACTTAGATTATCAAACCATCGAATTTACTAACATATGCAAAAGATGTTGCTCAATCAATAAACTGTTTTAAAAGATAAATAGTCAACCTGTCGCAATTTACAATAAAAAATATTAAAAAATATGAAAAATAGGAATCTTCGCCTACATTCAAAGGAAATTAATCAGGGCTACACTTCTAATAGAATCTGAATGCTTGTAATAGACACATCTTTTACGATTATCGACGATTATTCGTTTAGCAATTTTCCTTTTTTTTTTACATATCTATCTCTACAAGAAAAGGGAATTCTTGATTTTTTTTTACACATCTTTGATGATATAACATGTAATCGTTAGTCGGTCGGTTCATAATTCCATTCATAATTATATATATAAATAAATACTATTCAAGCTATTTTAATAAAATTACATAATAATTTATAAGAGACTGCATATTGATATTTTAGCTAGGTAAATATTAACTTGGATACTAGCTACCAAGAATCATAAAGTCAATGAAACTCAACCATCAATCATATTTATTTATTACCGAAGTAACAATGACTTGCTTCATATTACTATAATTATAGATAGAATTTACCTGAAAAAAGTCTAAATTGGTTAGCATAAACGATCGGTATTATAGCGATTTAAATCAATTTTTTGCAATTGTACGACATATACAATATAATCCGTATTTAATATATAAAACCACTCATTTTGTTAAATCGGTTACTGACTCTACAAAAGTAGATATAAAATAGTATATATTCCTTCGAAAATTTAAACTCAAATAAATTTGTGAAATGTATTATTACAAGTGCAACTTTTATGTAACAATATACGAAATGCATAAAATCGTATATCCTTGAAATAATTAATTGGCTTCTATTAAAAAAATAAATTATTTATTATTTTATGATTGAAAAAACTTTTTGTCATTTAATGTTTAATTATTAAAAATATTCGTTTTATTTATTTATTTATTTATTACGAAAATTTATTTTAAGTATAAAAAGTTAAGCATCAATCAAATGCACTGATATCAAAGTTTAAAGCATTTTGACCTATAAATTGTTGAAATATTATATACGTATAAATATAAATTTGGTAAAATACTTGTTTCTTAGCATTAATAATAATGTAATTTGAAAAATAAAAATGTATCGGAATATTTTTTCATATTTTCAAATAATATCTCGTTTTACATGATAAAAAAAACATTAATTTTTTTCACAATAAGAACAAAGTGAATAATCTTTTTTTGTGTCATTGTCAATATCAAGAAGAGATATATTTCTTATTTCCTAAAATTATATAATAATTATTCATTTTATAATAATGTTATATCAAAGCTTCCACAACTATATTTTGAAAAATATAGTGGTGAAAGAAGATTCGAAGTATACAATATAAATTTTTCATTATATGCAAATGGAACATTATATACAAAAGAAATGTAAAAGATAATCTGATAAGAGTAGAAAATGCGTGTATATATTGTAGAAAGTTGAAGCAAATAGACAAAAAAAGAAAAGAACTTAATTATATATAATACATATTAGCATGTATAAAAAAACTAATAAATTGTAACAGAGCATCGCTTTTATGAATCAGAATAGTAGTAACATAAGTCATGATTTTAGCATTAGTGATATCAAGATCGTTATTCCATCAAGTTCAATGAGCTGACATATTGACATATCTTAAGTCAAAATCACAAATAGAAAGTTGGTAAATAACAAAATATATCAAATAATGAATAATAAAAATGAATATGTGATATAATATTAATATTAATGTAGTATCATACTATATATTATTAATAATATTATATAATAATAATTTAATATAAGATAATCTATAAAAAATAAAGTAAAGGAATTTTCTATAAAAGTATATATATAATATATCCACACATCATATCAACATACGTATCAATTAAGCATATTTTCATGCTTCATATTATCATTTTATATTTTAACGATAATATGTTGATATTGTATTAATACACAAAGAATGTGGATACACAACAAAACGACACAATATATGGATACAGAGCATGTAATTTTAGATACTTGGATGTGTGATTTTCTCGTTGATTGTCTATGTACTTGTGAGATAGTATTTTGAACATTACATAAATTAAAAATCAATTAAAAGTATCTTCGTAATTATTACTCTTTGACTTCATGTACCTTTTGACTTCAGGTGATAATTTATTACTCGGCATTCAGTATCTTTTCCAATCGCAAGGTCAAATGTCACATACAATAATATAGAAATACAAGGCCGCCTACATATTTCAATAAAAAAAGTGAAGTATCAAAAAATTATTTATTACATTATACGTCCTGCTTGATACCAAACAACTTTTATCTGAAACATTTTCATACTGATTAAACAATTTATTAGTTTAGTAATAGTATAAGAATATTTAAAAAGACCGCCATGGATGATTCGTAACGACAACGATGGTAGCGCCAGAACCAACCTAACAGGTTGACTTATCTCACTAGTACCACACCAGTCACTTCACGTAATTTGTTTTGTGACCGATGGACATATACATATGTAGGTATCTATCACCTACATACATATGTTATACATATAAAACTACGAATATATAGAATGTCACTAAATAAACAAAGATATCTACATTAAAAACAATGTGAATTGTGAATTCCAAAATATCTATGTGACATATTGAAACGTATACATTTCTTCGTAACCCGAGTGCAAGTGTCTTGCGCATGCGACGAAACGTGAGTAACAGCGCTATCTTAGCAATACTCAAGGAATGACCGCGATATTTCAAATATAGTGAATCAAAAAATGTTTTTTGCAATATCTTTGATACATTAAACAAATGATACATTAACAAAATCTGCTCCTATAAATAATTTACTATAAAAATAATGTGCACAATAGCAATCTCTAACGAATCATACAATAATAATAGAAGAAATATAAGAAATAATAATTGAGTAAAAATTATTAACACATCTGTAATTCTAGTGCTTAATCTACATTTAATGGCGGATAATGTTATTAGAAAAGTAACAAAATATCCTTCTATAAATATGGAATATTGTCGAATGATATCCCGCCATCATTATGTAAGATATAACAGAATGTAAAATATTTCTAATATCTTGAGAACAAGCATTTTTTTCTGATGCTGACAGGATTTGACAATGTTGCAGTACTTACAAAAGGTTATTCTGTAACTTTTCTAATAACATTCAGCCATTGAATATAGATTGAGCACTGAAATTACAGGTGAATTAACATATTTTTGATTCTTGTATTCTTATATTTCTTATATTATTATTGAAAATTGCTACTGTGCATTCATTATTGAAAATTAAAAATTATTTTTGTACATAGTCACCTATTTATAGCAACAAATTTTGTTAATATACCACTCACTTTTATAAAGGTATTGCAAAAACAAACTAGATATGCCAATACTTTTTTGATTTATTATAAATACAAAAAATTATCAATATCAATAGATTTCTGCTGCTTTAATGCACTTATTATGTAAATTTAATATGCTAGTATACAATTCTCATATATTATCACATTAGATTACATAGTGTGATATATTTCTGTATAATAGTACATTTCATCTAGATGCATTTAATAATAGCACACTTGTTAAAATTAATATATAATTAACATGTAACTAAAACTAGTATGTAATTAACATATATTAAAATAGCCAATTTAAATGTATACAGATAATCAATTGAAAAAGATATATAAACAGAGAAGATATATAAAAAATTTTTTATAAAACAATTATAGATTAGTTAAATATTGTCAAATATGCTAAAATATAAATAAAATCTATTTGTTACATTATTATCTATTACTTACATTAATTATTATACTTTCAAATTTTATTACTTTATATAAATTTCAAGTAGTAGTAAATAGTAATAGTTAATTTATACGGAATAATTCGTATACTTAACAATTAATATTAAAATATTTTAGTAATTAGAAGTCAAGTTCTATTACCGAATTGATGATACTACAAGATTTAAAAGTAAAACTGTTGATGATAATTTCTATATATATTAGCACAATCAAATACAATTCATTATTTTTTCACGGTTTGTGAACACAACGCATCGAAACCTACTTCAAAATAATTTTCCTTCAACTGATTAAATTGATTCTTGTTAACCTTGACATTTTGTGCAACACTCGCCCCACAGGTTTATTTTAGAAAGGTAGAATACAACGTACCACGAGAAACTCGCGAACTGAACAGACTTGCAGGCTCGCAGGTTACCTTCTTGCACTTACATTCGCCATACGGTGTTCTACATTCTGCAGGATGAGAAAGCTTTGTCGCTACATTAACGATCATTATGGCCAATTAGCGAATAGTCATTTCTGATAAACTATTGCATGCTAATTATAAATTTAGAATTTATTTTTTTCAATTTTGTAAAAAAATTTTCAATTATGAATCTGTTTTATGTTTCAACGATAAAAGATGAACAATTTCCGTTTATAAGAAATAATTCTAATGACTCTTACAAATTTAATGTAATGTACAGAGTGTTCCAATAACTTTATCTCTCTAAATATCTCCATTGTTTTTGGAGATATGTGAAAAAATTTTATTAACGAAAGTTATTTAGTACAGAGCCTGCCATAACATGGCAGTACTTTTCGTGAATGGAAGGATTTCAGAGATTTCAAAATCACCTCCATTTTTTAAATGGAATGATATATTTTTTCATTCATTAATCGATGCAACTCGACATTTTCTATAAAAAAAAGTATTAACTACGAAAAATCATTAATTTAGGATATTTTGTCTTTAATTTTGTAAAATTTATCGTATGAAAATAAAATTTATCGATTAATGGATGAAAAAATGTATTATTTAATCTACAAAGAGACTTTGAAATCTCCGAAATCCCTCCACCTAAAAAAAATATTGTATTATGGACTCTGTACTAAATAACTTTCGTTAATAAAATTGTTTTTCCAAAACAATATACTGTATATATGTTACATATATAGTATATTGTGTATATGTTACATATACAGTATATTATGTAATATTACATATCTATGTTACATATTATGTAATATTACATATACTGTATCTACATATATGTTACTGTATATATGTTTAAACAATTACTAAAATTATTGAGAGACTGAAATGTTTTTTAATTTATTTCAAAATCTAACATTTTATGTCTATCTGGCATAAAATGCGACTACAGTACACGATAGAGCAGATGTTTTTTCAGAAATCAACAAGTAAGAACAGAAAAAACAGTTTAATTTCGATGCAAAAAGTAAAATTGTTTCGCGAAATATGCAACATCACCTGTAATTTTTAATAGTACGCATGTATCAAATTGCGCTGACCGAACGATGAAACCAATATTGTTGAAAATCACTGGTGACGTCATGCAATTTACAAAATTACTTACTTTGCTTCTTGTTCATTAATCAAACTGTTTTTGTAAACCATTCTTGCTTAATGATTTTCGAAAAGAAATTATTTGCTTGATTGCGCAAGTTGTCTCAGCAGATGTTTAATTTTTTAAATAAATTAAAAAAATATTCGAAAAAATTGGCGCAAAATCGAGATTCCAATGACTTTAATGATCATTTAAAAATATTTAAATATTTATAATATGAAATCATCATTTTCACAAACACAAAATAGATTTATAATTGAAAGTATATTTCTTTCTTTTTGAAAACTGAATTTTTCAAAAATTAAACATAATGAATTTGTAGTCAGAATTAGAATTATTCATTATTAAAAAAATGAAAAAAGTAAGAATTTATAAAATTATTAACAATAGCGTTGTTGACTCGAAAAAAAGAGAAATTTTTCTTATTTATTTTCTTATTTATAACAATAAACGATATAAGCATGATATTTGAAAATAAACTTTTGGAACTATTGTCTTGTAATATTAAAGGTAAATTCGTCCCAACTTGTTCGAGTTTTGTGAGTCGCCCTGTATAGGTAATGTTGATAAATAAATATGTATATACAGTTAATAAGCACATATGTACATATATACATGACATTGTTGTCTAAATCGCAGATATGCGACAATAGCTCATAAAAGTATTTGCACAATTACTATTATTATTATTGCTATATAGAAATTTTTTACGTATACATGTATTATATTTTGAAATATTTTTTGCAAAGTTAAGTATTTTGGCAAAAAAATAATTAAAGCATAAATTCATATCATCAATAGTCATCTTAAACATCTTAAATCTTAAATATGTTAAATATGTTAAATATGTTAAATATCAAATATAATCCCATGCGTATAAATAGAAATGGCAAAGATCCTAGTGTACAAATCCTGTTTTCTGCTATAGTACACACAGATATGTTTTTTTTTATAGAATAACGAAATTAATTAAGAAATTAAACTCTAACAAATTATAGAATTACAGGTACGCAGACATCGAAACCTCGAGAAAATAGGAAAAAAGTAAAATTCCTTGGCAGCATTTCAGTGATCGAAATTTGAAAAAAATGTCATTCGCCGAATGATTATAAAAGCATTGGATGCTCATCGTTTGTCCGTATGGTACCGATTATGCTAAATATATTATTATAAAGATATGCTAAAGATCATTTCCAAGAAGACCAAGCCGTTAGCATCCGAGGCAAGTTTCTGTCTGGCTTTTACATCAAGTTTCTTTCTTACCGATCGATTCTTAATTACCAGTCACGTACATTTTTCAACAACGTCGCATAAAACTGAGCAACATTTCTAAGAATTTCTATTCCCACATTAAATTACAATCGACGACTGTGAAAATTCTCGCGAGTCTTCCAATCAATGAGATCTTAAAAATTTATCGGTTTATGCGCAGGAAGCACGACATGTAAGTTATTTATTTGCATCATTTCGTGTAATTGCTAAATTTTTGAAATCGTTGTTTAAACTGACGTTCTCATATTTCACATGAACAAGACACGCGCACCAGTAATTGAGACTAGTCGGTGCATAACGATAGCGATAATATTTTGTGCGTAACTGTAAATGACTGACAGAAAAGAGTATTTGTCCCACAAATAGACGAGAGAATGTACAAAATTACTCGATATCATTACGGTATAAACAGGTCTTGACGAGTTACCTGCTCCAAACAAATGAGCCACCATGGACATCGTATTTCGTTAAGTATACCGATGTTGTGAATGATCAAAAAGGGATGTCTCACTTCAATTGGCCAGTAGGCAACAGCAATTATCACGTACTTAGAACTGGCTGTTTCCCATACATTAAATATCACTGTACCAAGAGGCCACAACAAGACCTCAACCTCGAGGACAAATTTTTCAAAGCGATCAAGCTATTGAACCTTGGTATGTACGTATATCTTCACATACTTATCTATCTGAGAAGTAAATCCGTCTGTTCCTCATGTTCATTGACACTTTCTCCACTTGAAAATAGAGAACACGGTGAAATTTCATCGATAGGATGTGTTGCAACAAATTACCGATCATTAGTTATTTTGTATTTTTATTTTTATTTTTTATCAGGTATACCTACATTAATGTATGGATTGGCAGCAATTTTCTTAATTAGACACCGAGAAATCGTGAGAACATCTCAAGGGGATGTGGTGATCCATTTCTTATTGCCAGAGGACAAGGGTTCTATGTACTGATATATTTGTAGACACTGTCTTGTTAATATATCGAGGTAATTTTTAATGTAACCAAATAAAAAAGTTATAGGATCTGACGTGTTTATTTTTATATAAGATTGTGTTTATAAATAAAAGAGATTAGTAAAATGAGTGAAATCACAGAATTAAATTATTAAGAAAAAAATCGTCGTCTTTTATATTTAAACAAATTCAGAAGCGTGATTTTGGCCGAACAGCTAATTGACCTTTATTTATTCCTCTTTATCTCAAAATAATCTCGCATTATTTAGTTATAAGATCAAAGATTTTATTATAATTAAAATTTCTATTAAATATAAGTGACCCTCGTGTACAGTTGCGGTCATATTTCGAACAAATAAATAAATTTATATTTTTTGATAAAAATTATTTATTTTAATACTTTTACGAAAAGCTTTATCGTTTTAAGCAATGAAATTAATCACAACGTCATATTTTACTCGAAAGCAGTAAAAGAATTTACTACAAGTTGACCTGTTCTATCATACTTTCTTCAAAATTATAATTTTTTAATTATAACATTTGCTTAATTTAGAAATTGAAAATATATAAATTTTTTCTCAATTTTTGTTTGTTTTGTAAAATATATCAAGCATACATAGATGATTCCCGCTTATGTTTTATGGTAACCATAAAAACGTTTATAAAATAATGATTAATTATTACGTATGTACATAAGTATACCACTTCTAATACGCATTTATCACATTTATAGCATTAAGTAAATACCATACGTTCCTCATACCTTTCAGATTCGAGACAATGCGATCTAACAATAGATATACACGCAACCAACTTAGATAAATACAGATTGAGAAAATCATAAAATTTTGAAAAATAAATGTTTATAAATATATTATAAATATAAAAAAAGAAATATTTTTAAATTCAAGTAAAGAATACGTGTAAAATAGATTTTATATGAAAATAATTTATCAGCAAGTAACACAGATATAAAGACATTAAGACGATATCGGCTTAGTATTTTGTTCTCTCTCTTCCTATGTAAAAATTTATACATTGTTACAAATTATTGCAGTATAGTATTAATCTAAATCGTGTTAACGATTCTTACATACAGAATAAGGTAGAAATATACAAATTTATCATTAACGTAGCTTTGCAATAATTTTATTATACAAACTGTCCTGTAGTAGTAGAAAATCTAGTAGGAAATGATTCTACGTGAAAAAATGAATGGAAAAGAAAAAATAAAATTTTTTCATTAAAACTTTCATTTTCGAGAACATCGAGCTTGAAAATTCGCCATCTCTATTTTTCACAATAGCACAGAGGTATGCAAATTAGGTTCCAATTGGTCCTTTGTAATAAAATCCGTTCTTTTACTTTGTTGACATTTAATTGGAATATTTATAATTGTAATCCCTCCTGATGTGTAATTGGATATTTTAATCATAAATTCAATTTAAAGTATGTGCAAATTTACGATTGTATTTCGATCGATACTATCATTTCCATCGCTTCAATGTTTAACGGTAGTAGTATTTCCTGCCGAATAAAGAATAATCGTCCAATCAGTTTGCTGATTAAAAATCCAACGATAGTTGAGTCAAATACAATAAAGCGTTAAACTCGTGATTAACATTTGGCTCGCGTTTGACACAGTGATCGCATTCCAGGTTTACAATGACTAATATTCCTTTCATCGCACATCGTATAAAGATGAATACAATGGGAAACCATTGCAATGCTCCCAAGACGTGACAAGCTTCGTTTCATCACATTAATATTTATTTGAAAAATAATTAAATTACGGGTCTCGAAAAATCATTTAACATATGCGATCAAAAGTATTTCTCATTCGAGGAATTGAGTCAGTCGAGTGATAGATCAGGACAAACAGTTTGAAAGAACTAGTACATGTATAAAAGATCTAACTCAATACCGATGATCAATAACGAGAAATCGCATAATTAATGCGAACGCATATATACATCTAATGTTTAATAAAAATTAGAAGCTTGAACGGACTTTTCTCAGTAACATGTGAATAACATTTTAATTAACAGATAGCTTTCACTCGGTGAATGACGATGCATCGAAATATCGCGAAAGAACTTTCACCGATTTATGTTTGTTGTACAGCTTTCGTATGCGACATTAGTGGCCTCCGACCTTCTAGCATTGCTGCATAATGCCAAGCTATTCCAGCGGCTATCGCGATATCACGATATCGAAAGTCTGATACACGAGAGCATTATATTCGATCGTGAGCATAGGGAGAGACATTTTTAAAAGGATGTTAAACATTGATGACTGAAGGTGCTTTGTTATGACTATTCAACGTCTTAATATTCAAACATACCTAAATATATAAATATTCAGATATATTCAGATATAATAGCTTGTACTTTTATTATATGTTCAATGAATCTAACATATTTATATTGATTTTTTGAACTTAATCACATCTCGTTTTGAATCACTGAGCTGTATCTTCAGATCAATATCATGTCATGTTTTTGAAATTGTAGTACAATAGGATGTAATGTAATCTACATGTAAAAATATTGTCGAAAAGAAAAGATCGTAAATTTTTCCATATAACGCTTTGTTTTTGAAAAAATCGAGTTTGAAAATTTATTAAATATATTTGAATTTGGATAATTCTAGATGTGAAGGAAAAAATAATTAACAGGATGTTATGCTACGTAAAAATAAGTAAAAATTGTAGATTTAAAATTTATTTGTTTATTTAAAGCTTTATCTTCAAGAAAATAAATTTTGAATATGTTTCATTAAAAATTGCCTTGATAAATTGATAACATGTACTTGATAAACTTTCAAAAGCAATTTTTTTCCAAAAATTTTACAAAAAAATGTTATTTTAGATTTTTTACTTATTTAACAATTTACTTAATTATTTTTGTCATATCTAGAATTAGTTAAATTCAATACATGTACTTAATAAACTTTCGAACTTGATTTTCTTCAAAACGAAGCATCATATGGAAATATTTTATTCTTTCTTATTCGATTCATTTCTACACGCATAATCTCTCACTCTAACCGGTTGCACATGCCACGATTTGAGGAATATGTATAACTGCATATGAGATACATGCTTATAAATTAAACATGATGTCTCATTTGTTCGATTAAAAATTCATATCAAATATACATTCTTAAACGAAGATCTTTTTTTGTGAAAAATGCCTAAGTTTGAAATTTTTAGATAAAAGAATTACTAAAAAGAAGTGAAATGAAAACATTGAATTCATTTCATTAATTATACAAGATAAAAATAGAAAGCTTTTCATATACATAAACGGTATCAATGAAAGAATCATAATATGATTAAGCGAGTCGTTCTTAGCTAAACTCTCACAAATTGAACAAAAAAAAAAAAAAAAAAAGAAGAAAAAAGAATGAAATTTTAATTAAAATATACTCTTATTTATCTTAGTATGTATTCTATTTTTATCTTAGTACATATTCTATTTAGAAATATCGCATAATTATCCATTAGCCAAATTAAACGAATCATGTATCCTTACATATCTTTTGTTTCTATAGGTCATTTTTACAGAATTAATAACACATTTTCACTTAACTTTAAGTTAAATCGTACATTCCTAAACCATTTCAACACCATCGAAGATCGATATTGGTTAAGCCGAAGGGTTTGCATGTTTTCTCCATAAAAGAATGGAACGGAATGGAGTAGAATGTTCGATTAGGGTTAGAGAGCGCGAATCATACTAACCGATCGTACACCTTGTACCCACGCAAGACTTGTCTCCATTCCGCGCACGTGTTAACACACGACCACGTGGATGTTAGCAGGGTCATAGACGGAGAATCGGATCAATGTTCGCCACGAAGCTGTAGAGTCGCATTACGCGCAATTAATTTCACATAAGATCCGCTATATATATATATATATATAATCCGCCACCGGCATATTTGCATGTCCGATTGATCGTTTCGAATTAGAGGCACCAGTTACATATGTAACTGACTGGACCTATTACAATATTAAACGCTTCAGCGTCTTTCAAAGCCAGAAACCGGAACGTTCGCGTTGACAAGAAAATTCACATGTTTCAGATATTCGATTACACTTCTTTGCAACCAAACACGCACGTACACTTTGCTGTCCACGAACCTTTCAAACGAGAAAAGAACATACCTTTAGAGATAACGGCTCTTCTGCAGAGCATTTACATATGTATACCTGACATTTATTTTGAGATTTTTTTCTTCGGAGAAACTTATCGAAGAAAAGGTGTAAAAAGACGATCCTTGCATACTATTGTATGGCAGCATGCTACGAGCAGTACTATGTACGTTCACCCGGTTTTCCTTTAAACGGTTACGATGCTTCTCTTTTGTATGCACAGGAGGGCAAATATATACGTACACACGTAGATTCAACTTTGTGCTTCGCAGCGAGTGTAGCGAGAACAGGCAGAAGATATTTTGCGAAATTGTCAACCGTTTTATTCCCAGAAATTATACTGACATGTTTGTTTCTTTTGGAAATCGATATTGGAAAAATTATAAATTTGTAGTTTTTGGATTTGAAAGAATGAATTTTTCTTTTGAGAAAAATTAAATCTAGAAATTATGCATAGTCAATACATTTATATGTTTGATCGTTAAAATTCGGTCGATATTTTATAAATTTCTAGTAAGAATTCGTTAATTCGTTTTAAAAGATATTTACATAAAAGCTAATAACTATTTATTGAAAGCCTTATTTATAGATTTCAATTTATACAAAAATTCGTTCAATTTCTACAATTTTCTTGTACCTTCAATTGTTTCCATTAAGTCTTTATGATATTCAATAAAACAATTTAATCGATGTAATGTTTACACATATTCGTTTTCGTGTTTACAACACAAGAAATAAACGCAATACATCAAAATTAATAGAAAACTTGTAATTATTTTTTTTTTTATTTTTATGATGAAATTAATTGCAACTGTCTCAATATGTGCAATAGTATAATGTATAATGTATAGGATATGGATTTTAAGTATTTATGAAAAATTAGAAGTTACAAAAATATATATACAATATATAAAAATA